CTGAGTACAGACTGCTCATAGATGGACTGAAGGGAGAGCTTTTCAGGATGGCAAGAATGAAGAATAAAATGGTTTCTTTCTCTTGTCTCCACCTTAACGCCAGATTCTGGGCCACTTACAAAGACTACATACCAAAATGTCTTCAAGAATGCTATCAATTCACTATCAGCAGCTGGTGGAGGAGATTTTTCTGAAATGAGTCTTTCAGGGCTTCAGGTGCAGTGATGTCTTTGAAACTACTTCAGAATCTACCTCTGCAAAACTCAATAATATAGAAAGCTGAAAGTCAGACTACTGTATTGTTGCTGTCCTCTCCTGTCATATAGCTGGCTTTAACTAATGCTCCTCCTAATTCTGAGATCTTCTGCTTCACGGATGCACCTGCTAAAGACAACTTCTTGAAAGGGACAGTGAAAGCACTCATAGAGCGAACCAAGTCATGGTAAGTGATGGGTTGGGTAACCATTATTACTTGATGTAGGATAGCCACTAAGTAGTTCCAGTGGTCCATGGTATAAGCGGAATAATGCCCTTCGAGGTGTCTATTAAAAGGAATCCCTGATATATTCTCCATGTTCACCAATGTAGTTTAGTGTGTTAACAACATTTGCTAATTAGCATTAAACACAAAGTGCTAGTCAGGTTAATGTCGGTACAACTTTCAAATACGTCTCATATATCAAACCTATTCAGTTTGACATAGTAATACAAATCATCACAGTCAAAATCATAACAGCAAAATTATGAGATAGGCCTGCTTCAATAAAATTAGGAAATAGTAAGTCATAATTTAGATTTAAAATTTTCAAAAATATCACATGTTCACAGTTACATTTGTTAGATAGCTATTATTAGCATTTATCTTAATCACATTTCAGTTAATAGGGTAGTGATTTGAGAATATTTTTGGCACATTATAGGCCAGTATTACATTAAATAGACCAGGCAGGGTTTGTACTGTACAAACTGTGCGCTACCTGCCAAGTATTACAAAGTTGGTTAAGAAAGCCAAACATCTAGCAGCTAATTTCTAACAGGTTTGTAACACAACCTCAGTTTGAAAAGATATATCATGAGACCATCTAGATTGACTTTTACTTCACTCTAGATGGACATTTGCCATGCAGGTTACTTCAGGACCGTGACCTGTTTACACAGGGATCTGATATGGGCCTGTAAGCAGCCAAACAAAAAAATCTGATATGAGCATTGAATCAAAGTGAAATGTCAATATTTTACACAGACTCTTGCAACGACATAGATGCAGAAAGTATACACTGGGCTAAAGTAGACAAATGTTTGCTGATTTATTATCCATAAACTTAATGAGGTTATGTTGGGGCTTTGTGTCTCTTAGCTTTCTTTGGAGTTCCTCTGCCCCCTGGTGGCCAAAATCAATTAAGGCAGCCTTACACCTCAAACAAATATTCTGGCTATGTGGCTCAGCGAGTTATATTACTCGTGTTATGAAGGTATTCTGTTCTCTGAAAGAGGGAGCCTGATGCATTTTGTGCTCTGCCTTCTGTTCAGTGACTGTATTCCTTTTTGTTTGTGAGCCAACCTTAAATCCTAACATTTAACAGAGAAATCTAGCAAGTGATCATTTGTCATCAGGAAATAAACAGACAAACACTGTTTTTATTGTTGTCATAATGTGTCTAATGTATAATCCTTTACAGAACATCAAAAACATTTCTCCTGTTTTCTGTATCACTATGTAAATTTTTGGAATGTTTTAGGGACACTGGTTTAAATAAATTGAGCAGTGATGGTCTGACATGGAAAGCGTTGTGTTGGGATGTGCACATACTTAATCTTTTCTGGTGATATGTGTGCGTTTAGTAGTAGTGTAAGTATGTTTATTGCAATCCTGGCAGGAAGTCTTTATCTGACAGGTTTCCTTCTATTTGCTGTAGTTCTCCTTTTCTCAGATGGTTATTTAAATAGTGTATGTAGCTCCCACATAGGTTTGGTGTTATTTTCTGAGATTTTGAGATATACAACACTGCACCTTGAGCCACCAACTCAATATATAGTGAAGGTTTAAGTGTTATATTATAAATATCTAATTTGAAATATTCAACAACAAGATGTCATTCTGAAGACAATGTTGCAGGTACTTGGAATAATTGACAGACTTTGCTGTCATTTTTTTTTTAAACTTTATTTCTTGACACATTGGTTTTTCAATTAAAATGGTATGGCCATGGCCAACTTATAGGTGCACCGAAAGTACATCACAAACCAGCACTGTACAATAATAGCTCTCCATTTTACCCTCCCAGCCGATAGGTTGTCTATATGGCTTTTCCATTAGCAGTTTTAAGTGCCCACTACAGGTGTTTGCTCCTTCTGCAATGAAACATCTGCTCCGTGCCTGGCGTCGACTAAGACTCTTCGTATTGACTAATAGTTTACTCGACTATTCAGGGAGAGCCCTATTAATATTAATTAAAGTTATTATTTATTATGTTTGATAACTGATCATTTTGATTTGCCAAAATTTAATTGATTGCACAAACACAACTTGGTGCCCCTAAAACCAGTGTTACCCGAACAAACGGTGCTGCTGTGTTAACCATATTACAGAGGACTGCAGTACTGGTATGGCTCTTAGCCACAGCCACGAGGGACGCAGCATTGTAGAGTGCACGATTACCTTTTTACTTAGTATCCATCTCTGCACATACTAATTCAATAACAATAATAATAAAAAAAACACTTTTGAGTGCAGGAAGGTTTTAATTATCCTGAAATGTTCATCCCTGTCTGTGAAATTTGACTTACAGCTACCAGATATCTTTGCTGCTGCAGCATGTACATCATTTTCAAAACATGCCCTCACCACAAGCAGATTTTAGGACCAATGTAGCTACAATTCACACATTGACGAGTATTTTCAATTGTAAAGATAGAGTAACCTGCAATGGGAGGAATACTTTCTATCAGTCCTTTTCTTATATCAGCCATAACATTATGACCACCTGTTTTTCCTGCTTTTAACACATCAACTTTAACAACAAAATGTTCACTTGCTGCCTAATATATCGCACCCACTGACAGGTGCCATGATAACCAGATAAACCAGATAATCCAGATAACCCATCTGTGTTCATAATGTTGTGTCTGATCGGTTTCTCATACAACTAGTTTTCACGAGAAATGAAAATGAAAGAATTCAAATGGACACAGCAGAAAGCTTTGTTGTTGTTCTTTTAACATTGACCTTGTAGGAGGAGCAAATATTTAACCGTCCACTTAGTATCTGCATGTTATGTGCCTG